GGCAAACAAATAGTGACATGGAAAAAAATATTAATATGGTAAAAAATATTAATATGACAAAAAAAAAACTTAAAAAATTCCTTTTTTTTTTTTTTTCCTTCTCCTTCCCTTTCTCTTTCTCTTGGGGTCTTGAATTCCTTGGAACCTAGGCACTGGGGTTCCTTCAAATCCATCGCTTGGTTTCCTTCGAACCTGACACTGGGTTCCTTCGAAGCCAACACTAGGTTCAAAGGAGCCCGACGTTGGGTTCTTTCAAACCTGGCTTTGGGTTCAAACCCAGGGGCAAAAAATTAAAAAAAAAAAGTGCTTTTTTTTTTTGGGGGGGTTTTGTTGTTTAATGATGAGAGGAATTGATTGATGGAGAAAGCAAGGCAAGGAAGAGGGAGGAGAAAGGGTGCCTATTGGGTTTGATTGAACCCAAGCGTTGGGTTCCTTTGAACCCAACACCACCCTTGGGTTCTTCGGCCAAAAAAAAAATCTATGTTTTTGTGGGTTTTGTTGTTTGATGATGATAAAGAATTGATTGATGAAGAAGGCAAGGAAAGGAAGAGGAAGGAGAAAGGAAGAGGAATGAGAAAGGGAAAAAGGAGGAAAAAAGAGAATTTTTAAAATTTTTATTGTCAAATCATTATTTTTTTGCCATGCTGTCTTTCCATGTGGGTTTAATATTTTGACAGATCATTACACTTTCGTTAGTTAACAGTACATATCATGCGATTTTTAATGGAAGGACCAAGTCGAAGTTAAAATAGTAAACAGTAGGGACCAAATAAGGGATTTTTTAAGTTGAGGGACTCAATTGGGGGGTCTGTACAATAGTTGAGGGACTAAAAAAGAGATTTAACCTATATTATATTGATTACATTCTTTTTCAAATAATAAGATGTAATCTATATCTCAAATGTGCATCTAAATTTGAAAGACCAATATTGAAATTTTAATATTTTGATACTATTAATATGATAGCTTATAGAATAGAGGATATATTGTTTTATTTTAAAAAAAAAAATTCTTCATCCATTCTAAGATTTTGAATAATAAAATTTTTAATTTTGAGTTTCACTCAACATTTTTAAAACAAATATCTCTTAAATTATATGTTAAATCCTCAATGTGGTCTCTGAACTAAAAAAATCCCTAATTTGGTCCCTAAACTATTGTACGGATCCCCGATTTGGTTCCTACTGTTTGCCAATTTGCCTCAAGTTGGTCATTCTATACAAAAACAACTAATGTGTCTCGTTATTAATGTGACATGTAGCCGTTAAATTATTGTCTTTTGCCGTTAAATTATTGTCTTTTGTCATTAAGTTACTGTTTTTTGTCGTTAAATACTAGACACGTCAGCTTTTTTTTATATGGAAGGACTAATTTGAGGCAAATTGATAAACAGTAAGGACCAAATCGAGGGTCCATACAATAGTTTAAGGACCAAATCGAGGGTCCATACAATAGTTTAAGGACCAAATCAGGGATTGTTTTAGTTCAGGGACCAAATCCATGATCCATACAATAGTTCAAGGACCAAATTAGGGATTTAACCTAAATTATATATGCTTATAAAATAACAAATTTTAAAGTTTAGAAATTTAGTTTGTGCAATTGGATTCTTTGTTGTAAATGGATGTGTCATAACATGCTAATGACAATTAGTATTTGTTTTTTCCCTAGTGAAGGTACATCCACAAATTACATCCTAAGGTGGGATGATTGTCTTTTGGCAAATGCAATTCCACACTTGAGGATATATGTTACTCCATGTACTTCAACCCGCAGGATGGATGGTATGCATTGGTTGCATGTTAAGTAATCCTCTCTTTCATTCCAATTATTAAGATATTCATTCATAATACTAAAGTCTTAAAACAAATTGATCCTCACGTCCTGAATTAATAATTAAAACCCTTAGTTAAGTAAATATTACCTTCTATGAGTTGCATTTTTAAACTCATGAATAACATTTTTCCCTCTTCTCAATTGTCCTATTTAAAAAGAAAAGAAAAAGAAAAAGACCAATAACTTAGAGGTCAACCCGTCATTGGTTTATGGTCAACTTAAGAATTACTGATTACCTAGACTTTTCAAAATTCAAATAACCATAAAGAAAAGTAGTTGTTTCCAGAATTTTGAAACTGACTGGGCTTCAAGTCAATGGACATTTTATTAACAATTAAACCTTTATTTGGTTTAGTTATTTAAAATAATTGATAATTGTAATTAGTAAACTCAATAATATTTTTTATTTAATCTTTAAAATCAACCTGAATATTGATTTTTTCAAATCTACTTTAACTAATATTTTTTTAAAAAAAATGCTAAGACTAATAAAATCAACTAAATTAAACACACCCTTAATTATTTCACTTACAAAGAATGACTTCATTTTTTTTTTCAAACAAAAGAGATATTACTATTTTTTTTTCTCTAAAAGTTAGTTTTTAAATTAATACACCTTTGTCTATAAAAAATTTTAATGAGTCATGTTTGTCATTTCTAACCTTTTTTCTTTTTTGATAAACAAGTAATTTCTAACTATTAAGCTTTACTGATTATCATGTAAATGAAATACATATATATAAATATTATGCATTTAAGATTATATCATTTATATAACTTAAATTATTAAATAAAATAAATCCTTTAATATTAAAAATTATTTTTTTCTGCATTGACCCTTGAGGCCTAGTGGTATAGTCACGGTGCATTCTCCCTCCCCCGATAGGGTTCAAAACCTGCCTTTGCAAAATATGTTCAAAAAAAATAATTATTTTTTTCTTTTATTAATTTTTATTTTTTTGTTTTGTATGATGTAGTTTGTCCGAGTTCTAAATAAGAAGTCATAAACAAATACTCTTCAAATAAGGGGTGGCTATTCATAAAAAAGGAAAAAAAAAAGGGGACGGCTACATTTCTAGATCATTCCTATTTACGTAATATACCATTTAAAAAAACATATCTTTCTGACAATTCTCGAACAAATAAAAAATAAATAGCAAAAGGATTTTAAAAAATAAGAATTTGTTTTATACGTCCCT